AAAGGAGAGTTCTATAAAGACCTTAGAACTCTGACTGTAGAACTGACACTACAGAGATGAAAGGGAGAGAAAAAAGCAGGAGAGCACCACGTAGAGTGGGTGTTTTGGAGAAGGGCATGCTGTGGTAACAACACCTAAGGAAGAGATTCTATACCCCTAAACCATTTACAGCATTGAAAGCCAAGATTGCTTCAATTAAAAAAAAAAAAAAAAATCCTGGAAAGGTAATTATGGTAATAGAAAAAGTAAATTTGAAGAGATGGGGAATATCATGAACAACTTTCTGGGATAGTGTATCTAATTGTTATGATTATCTGAATCATCCCTGAGTTAGGTTCTGGGTGAAGTGGGTTCTCCAGTGAAGCTCTAATCAGACTTTCTGTTACTCTTTTCTATAATCTAGACCTGTCATAGTGCAACTACTGGTAGCAGATGCCACTTCACTCCTACTTTCAGTATTGTATTCCTTCCCAAATTTTAATGAAGGCTCTGATGCTGGAGATACTAAACAGTTCTAGCATTTCATCTCTGTCCATTTTCCATTTGTATTTTGAAGAGTGTTATGAATTTCTCCAGCATGAATGTAAGGCCACGTAAAAGGCATTGGGAAGAAGTTGTAGGATTTAGGTGATATTGATACTATTGTTTCTTCACCATTCTTTTTCAAAATTTCCTAGGTAATTTATGTTTCTGATACTTTCAGAATGACATTTTTTAAAAAAAAAAATTTTAATTTATTTATTTATTCAAGCACTGGGTACAGTCAGAAGTGCGGGAGGGTGGGAGAATTCACCAGAGCCAGAGCAGGGAACAGAGCAGGAAGACTGATGAAATACACTGCTTAGGGGAGCAGCGGGTGGCAGGAGAGGTCTGCACGCCAAGTGGGACCCTTGGCGGCGGCCGGGGATGGAACCAGCACTGCAGAGGCTGCGGGCAGCTTCACAGCCCAGTGCTCAACTCTTGCGCCACCAGGGGAGGCCCCAGAATGACATTTTTAAAATAACAACTTGAGTTTCTTCCAACCACAGAGTAAAGTAAAAGTAACCTTACATTATTCATAATTCTCTACAGCTATTTCTTGTGAGATAAATAGGTATGCATTGTTTTACTGGAAGATGAAAATTTGAGTAGTCTTTGCTTGGCAAGAAAACATTTTATTCAAGCCTTTGAACTTGACTTTGCATTTGAGAAAAAGGGTGATTAGAACTTTTATACTGCCTCCCTATATTAATAATTTGCTATATGTTGAATTTGTAGGGATCATATCTATTGCTGAGGTAGCAAGAATTAATAATGTATTTTAATAAAGGTAACCTAATTTATACTTCAGGTACCATTCAGGAAAGACTACTGTGAGTAAGTTACATGTAACTCTTGGGTAAGTTTTATACCAGAGCATTGGACTGAGATTGCCCTTGGTGTCATAAAGCTCTGAGTAATATTTTAATAATAATAATCTGATTTATTCCATAACTCTGTACCTGGTATTGTGCCATCTATATCCATTAGGATGTACACCAATTGTTTATGAATAATTCAGGAGTGTTTTTATTCTATTTTCAAATTCTAGACACCTGGATCACAGTCTTCCAGACTCTAACCATCTATATCATTGTACGTTCATCTTCTTATACCTCTTTTTCTATTTTGTAATTATTTGAACATTTAACTTATTTCCATGTTAAACTATAAACTTCTTGAGTGCTATTCACCTTTGTTCCAATAGTGCTTTGCACTCAGTTGATGAGTATTAAATAGTGAAGGGATTTTTTTAAAAGATTTATTTATTTGTACAAGAACTGGGGTGCAGGCCAGATGTGTGGGAGGGTGAGAGGATTCACCAGAGACAGAGCAGGGAGCAGAACAGGCAGATGACAGAAAACACTGGTGAGGGGAGCAGTGGGCAAGACAGGAGAGGATACCGTGTCATGTGGGAATCTCCCTGGCTGGCCGGGAATCTAACCTGATCTGCAGAGGCTGCAGATAGCTTCATAGCACTGCTTTCAACCCACTGCGCCACCGGGGAGGCCCTGAAGGGATATTTTCTTATTGATCCTAGTTTTTCAAACAGTAGAATCAGCAGAGGAACTGCTTAGCTGAAGTAATAAGCCATTCTAAATAAGTTAATAACATACCGATGAAATCATGAGAATGACTTCAAAATTTTTATACAGAAGCAAACAACAAACAAAAAATTACTTTGCTCACAAGCTAAGGATAACTACGGCTGCCAATTTAACATTAATGTTTGCATTGCTGAATATGTTAATGAAAAATGCTACTTTCTTAATGGAACCTCTGCAGTGAAAGTGTTTCATAAATATAATGTTTTATCCTACAGGCATTTGTATACTAAATTTTGTTAAGTCTTTCACTGCAGGTGAGTTTTAGGCAGGCAGTTTCAAATTGCAATCTCTAGTTGTAATGCTGAAATTCGCAAAGGTGTAATTAGGAGAAGAGGAAGACCCTCCAGTGTCCATAACACAAAATGTCATTCTGTTAACAATTAAATGTGATAACATTTAAATTATGCAGGCCTAGTGACACCCAAAGAATAAAATCTAACCATTAGGATGGCATCTAGATAGCAGATGATTTCACAGGAAAGTATGCAGACCTCCATCAAGTTAAGAATCAATACAACCTAGGCAACTGTGGCAGTCAAAGACAACAGTCTCAGCTCATGAAAGGAGCTTCTCTGTTAGCACTATATTAAATTATCACAGCTAATGTAAAATCAACCTTGGTGTAAAAGATAAAAGGGTAAAGTTCTCACAAATGATGACTTATCACTCCATTCCAAAATGCATACAGCATTCATTATAGATCGAAATGCCACTCAAATTTCATCATTTAGTAGGGTTTTGAAACAGGCAAACCATTAACAGAAGAGAGTAGCTTTTTATATTTATACAACCAGTGACTAATGAAACATTATGCCCTGTGTGCAAAGGGGGAAAAAAAAAAAAAACAACCTTTATTTTGTAATGAACCCAATTGAAGCCCTTTTTAAACACAGAGTAATATGGTTTCACTGTTTCATCGAACCTCTCATTACGTGTGTCAATAATCCTAGGTAAACTACTGTTGAACTTCACAGCATTTATCTAGCAGCATGAATAGCATTAATCTATGGGGTGCCTTTGATGAATTGTAGTTCAAAAAGCAAAGCCAAAAATGACTTCTTACAAAGTGCTTAGAGACGTATTTATTAGAAACATGTCAACTGCCAACTACCTAAATGTAGCTTGGCTATTTAGGAAATCATGTTGTTGGCTAGCTTGCAAACACTGGGAAAACACATGAATTTTCCCCTCTTGAATTACTTAAAAAAATGAATGACATACTTTTTCTCTAAGTATATTATTTTTTTCTGTCACTTCCCTTATAATTCTCTACATTTTTATGTCATATTGCTTTTGATACAATGTCACACACTATATAAACGCCCCCTGGTTCCTTGAAACTGAATGTGAGAATATCACTTAGAAAGTAAAGGGAATCAGACTTCACTTCACATACGTGACTGCAGGATCTAAACGTTCAGGTCAGCATGAACTGAAAGCTACTCCAGGATTGTACTCTAAGGATCTAACTTATCTTCTTGACAAGGCATGGTTACAATATTCCTTTGGCAGTAAGCCTGGCCTGGGGTGTCTACAGGGCTTTACCACATTTAATTCTGATTTATCAGTCTACTCTGATTAGACTGATCTTTCCACAAAGTTGAAATTTGCACAATTCATGAGATGCTAGAAATCAATCTCTCAACTCCACTATCTTCAGGAAGTTTATATGTGAACTGTCTATTCACTGTGAGACTTCATTTTCTTCAATAACAAAGTAGTAATAAGAATTGAAATACTGTATGCATTAAAGCAAGTTGAATATAGTAAAGTCTATGTGACTTAATATATCACCTTTTCTTCAATTTTGGCCTGCATCATAATGAAATAAATACCTTGGAAGAAAACACTAAGAGGATTAACTCATTCCCTAAAATTAAATCTCTTTACAGAAAATTGGATTTTGTCCCTTAAACTTTTTTTTTGGAATGATATAGAACTAACCTGTGCTCCTTATGGCATTTTAGTTAGATTCATGAGAGAGATATCACATGATCATACTCTTTCCATGATTTTTAAAATTCATTGGCTTTAAGATAGCATTGTGTTTTACACAATACTCAGAATATTGTGATAGTGTATAGAACGTGATACTAGTCTTAGAAAAGTTTATCTTGGTGAAATATATGAGAAGAAATACAATATTTCTCTTGGAGATTCACAGTGCACTCTGAAATGGAAAATTAACTCTTAACTGTCCTGTCCAATTTTGTGCATCATGGCATTTGTCAGTCTCATCAAAGTGCATCTCCATCTATTCATACGTTAAAGCTACTTTTGTAAAGACCTATTGTGGTTTTGAGTAGTTAGGAAAAACAAATTCTCTTTAGTTGTGGGTAAAGACATTTCCTTTTGCCATTTTCTTATATTTACTAAAATTGTAAAACTAGGATAGAGGAGAAAAAATATGTGTTTCAAATTAAGGTTCATAATAAATTAGTGTGGTTATCATGAATAATGTACAGCTTTCTGTGCTACATCTTTAAAAAGTTATAGGATTATAATGTATATTTTTATGATAATACACCAAAATTAACTTAATGATTGTGATTTATAACTAAAGCATTTTTTGTAAAATTTAAAGAAAACCACTAATGTCATTTACCAATAAAAGTTGTACAACATATTTGCAGTAAAGAAAACATTTTTCAAAAATAACTTATTTTTATTATATGTTGCAATTTTACTTTATTAATTTAACTGGAATATATTAATTATGGATCTTGGTGATATCTAAACTTATGAGAAGTTCTTCTGAAAGAAAAAGAGAACCTGGTGAATTTTGGTCTAAAGATTTGAAAGATTTTAATAAATATAAACAGTTTTTTAGGTCATTCTTCCCTTCGTGTATAATGATGATAAAAATGTACTCACCGTGTACAATGAGAACATACTCTGCACTGCTTTGGCCAATGGTGTTTGTGGCTTCGCATCGATAAGTACCATTATCCGTTTTATTCAGGAAAAGAATGTTTAGCTCCCTACCACTCACAACCATTCGATCAGGATCTGGTAATTCTCCGCCATCCTTTGTCCACAAAACAGGTTCTGGCCTATTGGATTTAAACATACATATAGATAGGTAAAGAAGAAAGATCGTATATTCTGTGACTTAAGTAAATCAAGCAATTAATAAATATTTCAGACTGATTTTGCCCATAATCATGTGTTAACCTCTATAAAGTACCAAAAGAACCATCGCACACTCACTGAGAATATATGGAGGTAGGGCAAATGTAATTTAATTTTATTTGTTTAACTGAATAGACACAAAAAGACTAATCTGTTGAGTTATAGCAATCACTAAATCACTAATCACTAATGGCCTGGGTCATGTGACCCTGATTATCCTGCTAATGGTCCATATTTTCTACTATCTGGATATCTGCCCTTCACTATTAGAACAACCTTTCTCAGAGGTATTTGGAATTAAACTTTAGCAGTTGAGGCTTCCACTGTGGCACAGCTTTACCTAAAACCACTAGAACTCACCTTCACTATAACTCTCAAGTTATTTTTCTCCCCAGTTTTATTGACATGTAATTAACATAAAATAATGCTGTAATATTTTATGGTGTATAGCATAATGTTGATATATATCATAATGATATATATATATCATATATCATAATATATATATATATCATAATTTTGATATATATATTTAAATGATTACCACCATAAGTTTGGTTAACATCCATTATCTTCCACTGTTACAATTTTTTCTTGTTATGAGAACTTTTAAGATCTAATCTTTTAGTAATTTTCAAATATAGAATACAGATTTGTTAACTATAGTCACTACATTGTACATTACATCCCCATATTTAACCAAGAAAAATGACAAAAAGGCACCTAAATTAGAAAGAAAAAAATAAGACTGTCTTTATTTTGCAGATGACATTATATTAAATAAAACTTAAAGAATTAAAAAGAAAACAAAGTGTGAGAACTAATGAGCCAATTCTATAAAGCTGCAAGATAAAAAAAAATCAACTATAAAAATCAGTTGTATTTTTATACAACAACAACTAGCTATCAGAAATAGAAACTCTGAAAACAAACCCATTTATAATTGTATCAATAGGAATAAAATATACAGGAAAAAAAATTTAACCAAAGACATGGTAGATGTATGCACTGAAAACTATAAGATATCACTGAAAGAAATTGAAGAGGACACATATAAATGGAAAGATAATCTGTGCGTATGGATTGGAAGAACTAATATTATTATAATATTCATTGTACTCAAAGCAATATATAGATACAAAGCAATCTCTACCAAATTCCAATGGCATTTTTCACAGAAATAGGAAAAGCAATCCTGCAACTTACATGGAACCACAAAGACCCTAAACAGCTAAACAATCTTTTGCATATCATCCGGGAATGGTAAACCTAAACTATCATGTCACACCTGTTAGGATATTAAAAAAGCTCCTCAAAAAATTAGTAATAGAACTATCATTGGTTCAGTAATTCCACTCCTGGATACCTATAACAAAGTTACTATCTCATAAGTTTATCTGTGCCCCCATGGGCATTAAAACATAATTTACAATATTTAAGACATATACTATCTCAGTATCCATTGATAGATGAATGGCTTAAAAAAAAGTCTCACATACAGCAGGAATTTAGAAAACCAAAATAAGAGATCACGAAAAAGACTAATCATACAAAGTAAAAATCAAACTCAACAAGCAACTATACACCAGAGACACACTAAGGGGGGATGGGAGGGAGGGAGGGGTGGCAGGGAGAGGAAGGACTAGAGTCAAAATAAGGGGGGGCGTGCAATTGTATGGGAAATATAACCAAAATGAAAATGCATACATTGTGCAAAGATGAAAAAAGATGTAAGAATTATATAAAATAACATATTTAAATAAAAAAAAATTCTCACATACAGACACCACCACGAAGGAACATTATTTGACCATAAAAAAGAACAAAATACTGTCATTTGAAGCAACATAGTTGACACTTGAGGGCCGTGTTTTAAATAAAACAAGTCAAAGGGAAAAAGACAAATACTATATGGTATAATTAATATATGAAATCTAATCACAATACACCCCCCCAAAAAAAAAGTCTGAACTGAATTCATGGGAACAGACAGTTCTCTTTTAATCAAAACTTAGAACTCCAATTCCAAAACTGACCTTTAGGGAAAAAGGATAAGTAAATCATTAATGTCTGTCTTCTGTCTTTGGATATCAATCTTTTATAATTATTAATGAAAGGAAATGTTTTTAGTAATATCGGTAATCACATGCTGATAATGGTATTTATCTTATGTTTTCTACAATCCTCACATGAACATTTTGATTGCTATAATTTTTAAAAATTGAATACACATTAGAATACAGAAGATTAGCAATGTGCTCATGCCTGGGTTTGACTCTATAGTTAATATTTCAGCTAATACCTCTCGCTTTCTAACACAAGGAATCAATTCTCTAGTTCTTCTATGTCAAAATGTTCTAATTCAAACATGTTATCATACCATTGGAAATAATTTTCTAAAAAGCTTTATTCATTTAATTTTATGAAAACGGAGTGTTTTCCTATAAATACAAATGAAAACTTAGACCATTATAAGGAAAACATATGACTATGGTAGCTCTGTTAAGATGAAGATATCTTTTCTGACAAAATTTTATAAAATGGAGATAAAAGTTTTGAACCAAATAATAATAAATATTGGAAACAGCATCAAAGCAATATTATGAAATAATATTATGAATCACTTAATTTAATTAGTAAAAATACTTGAAGAAAGCCAAGATGAGAGAAAGATTTTATTAAGACTATATCCATGAAACCTCTCAAAGAGCATTCTATTAAGATAATGAAAAATCTAGTAACACAAAAAAGGGTAAATACAAAAAAAATCCAATTATATAGAGAATTCAATCTCAAAGGATCTTTACTAAAAGCTAAACCACTGATATTTCTCAACTTGCTTCACATACCCCAAATATGTTATTTTTTTGTTAATTTTACTAATTCTGATTTTAAAACTGATACTCTGGATAATCTTGTTCTATGCACATCATTAACATAATTTGAAGAGCAAAGCTATAAAATAAAATATAACTTGGTACACACATACCTGAAATAGCAGAAGTTGTATCCTTTCTACAAATCACATCAGGCGCTATTAAAGTAGCACTTATATTAAGGATAATTTGATTTTTAAAAGACACATCCTTAAAATAGCACTATATATAAATGCTTTATTATATTGAGACAATATATTTTTAATGTATAAGTTGAAATTTTTAGACACATATAGATATCATTATAAGCCTGTACCACACATTTCCATATACTCAAAATTACATGCCCAACTGTCATAATTTTTCTGTCCTTATGTTCAGTCACATCTTAAAACATATGACTCTGTGAATATGTAATTAAGTTTTGGTATAAATTTTTTTATTGTGTATATAGAAATGAAGTTAAAATAATATTCAAACTGTCAGTTTGTACTCAAACATTTTTTTTCTAAAAAATATTTCCTTTTTAAAGGAAATATTGAAAGAAAAAACCTGTGAATATATGGATAACAGGAGATTGTAGTAGCATATATCACTGGTGACACTAACATTGCAGGATTCTTGATCCTACTCTCGATGGTAAACTTTCAAGGTAGCAAAGAGTTTGTTAGTATCATAAGATGCAATTTTAATGAAATGGAGGTTAGAGTTTATGCATCAATTATAAATAGCCTATACATATTCCAATTAGTGCTTAAAATGTTCAAGTTTCTTAATATCACCATAAAAATATTAAGTGGTTTAGCAAATCTTGATACAATTTGTGTTTCATCTTAATAAAGAGGGCCCCTAGGCTTTCTCTAATTGGAACCCAGGAATGATTGAGTTTCTTGTTGCAAATGAATAACACTCTTCCCTGCTGTTCAGGCAACCAAAGGAGATCATTTAAAAAGTGGCTGTAGTCTACAATTTCCATGTGATAAGGCTGAAAAAAAAAATAGAAGCTACAGGAGTAACAGGACAGGGACACAGCATCAGACATGAGATAACACTAGTACTCTACAGCGAGAACATTAATATAGTCAATCTAGAGGATTCTGGCTTGAAAAGTTCAAATAAGAGTTTGGAAATCTTCGTAAGATGAAATTTGAGCTATTCTTTTGCCTACCAAATATGTAGGGTAAAAAGAGGTTTGATTTTCCTATGCACTAAGGACATTTTGCAGTAGTTTCTTCCTAGGGTGAAAGAAAAGAACAAGAGGATAAAAATGAAATAAAGAAATCAAATAGGCTAGTGTATATATAACCTCTTGTATTATAATGTCTTGATGAAGTTGTTTTCTTTTATCTTAATATATTTTTTAAAATTTTCTGTTATTCAGTGTTTTGCTTTATACATAGCTAATAAGAGATTCTCAGATATTTTTAACAACTCCTTATTTATAGTGTTGGAAGGAATTATCAAAGCTCTTTCAGACCACCATTCTTTAATATCGTGCATCAGACACAATCCTGATAACTCATTCCCACTGAAACTAGTAAGTCATTGGGACATTTTTCTGTAAAATTTTGCAACTGTAACAGTTCTGCTAATTCTCCCAACTGTGTATGGGACCATCCACTCATTAGACATTAATGAGACTAGAACCTTACCTTCTAGCCCCTAAGCCTCAACCTCTCTTCTTCTCTTGCTTCATTAATAATGAAAAAAAAGGACCTTAACGTCTAGCTCTCAAGCCCTCACCCTTTCTTCCTCTTTTGCTTCATTAATGAAAACAAACAAACAAACAAACAAAAAAAAAACAACAACTAGAGAGTTAATTTATGGAAAATTAATTCCTACACTACAGGTCTCCTTGCACAAATGGACAGCAGTGAAAGCTGTTCCAAATTTTGGAATGGATACATTCTCTAGTATCTTCCTTTCCTAAATGACTGTATCTACTTTGGTTTCTTTAGGGTCTTTTCCTTTATAAGCACAATATATGTTCAGTGCTAATACTAAAATAAATCATATGAAAATGAAACTTATCTTTCCTAGATGAA